TTTGGGAATAGAAGCTAGATGGAAAAATCACAGTCTAATAAAACAATCAAAAAAGTACCAGCACATTACAGGCCATTTCAAAATAAATTAGGGTATCTTTTAAATCTCTACACAACAATTTGTATTTGAAATCAAAAGACCGTATGTCATTGACTTTCCCCTGAGTAATCTAAGTGAGAGAGCTCTCTGAGGTGCAGTAATAGGATGTAAGTGAAGAACTGGGTATTATTTTACCCGTGCTGTGATAATCTGAATGCATCACTGCCCAGCATCATAAACAGTGAAGTGAGAAGAACAAACAGCACTTTTAAAACCCCCATTGCATTTGGAGGCTGTAGGAAGGGGTGGGAGACCAGGTCTCCAGTGAGAGGGAAAGCAAACATCTAAAACTAAAGCAGAAGCAATGCAGTATTATTTAAAGTCTAAAGAGGAAAACTACAAAAGCCTGTTTTTCACCTCTCCAAGAAGGAAAAAAAGGCAAGTCAGAAGCAATGTCAAGAAATAATGTTGCAAGCAGGGAGTGCAGTTCTTAATAATCAGCAGTATTTTAAAGATCTTCTTGAAGTTTTGCAGTGAGACACTATAATTAAGAAAAGAAATCAAAGCTTACCAGTTATCATCTGTCTGGAGCAGGGAGGGAGCTGATGCTACAGGATCTTTTCCACGGAGTAATGCACAATGCAGAAATAGCAGAAGGGAAAAGAAGTAACAGAGCCTTTACAGGCAACGACAGCAGCCCCCTAGGTCATGCTCTGTTTTCCTTCTCTTTTCCCAGCCAGCCAGGAGGGTTTCCTCCTTCTCCCCCAGGCACAGCCCCCTTCCCCCTGCCCAGCATCCCACCACCCACACGGGGACAGGCTCCAGGCTTCATTTTAATGGTGTCAGGAAGGGGAACCCAAGCCTTTAAGCTGCCTCTCGCACAGACTGGGGTGAACAATGCAGCCACATGGGAGCAGGATTATCTAAAGGAGGGCTCAGCTCAGTTCTGAGTCTTACCTGCACTAATCAGGGCAAATAAATTATTTTTAAAGCATGAAGACAGAGAAAAGGATGATTATGTGTAATTATTTTTAAGAACTCTTTTAACATCCTTTTCAATGTGAACTGTGTGAGTTAATGCTACACACACTGAGGAGCCCACAGAGGTTTCTCTGGCTGGGAAGGGATTCTCACACAAAGATTTGCCCCCCAGAAGATAGCTGTATCTGCTTGCCTACCTGCATCCTCCACAGCCTACCCAGAGCCAGGCAGACACTGCTTAAGCAGGGCACACAGCTCCCTCCTCCTCTCTTTAATTTGTGTGTTTGCCCACAGACACCCAGGATATCACCAAGCACAAGAGTCACCCAGCACACCAGAGGGAAGGTACATCTGTTGTTCTGCACCAAATCTGGAAAACAAAAAAGCACCATCTGATAATCATATTCAACAAGCAAACTCCTGCTTTTCCCTTTCTTTCCTCCTCACTTCAGTTCACAACACAATCATCCAGTGTTGTGGGCTTGCATCTGTTTGTCAGGCCATTCACATTAGATTTCTTTTGTCTTCTGTAATTTTTCTTATGCCTTCCACAGAGAAAGCAGGTAACACTACACAGAACTCCTGTGTCACAGGACCCCAAGAAAAACACAGGTACAGTTCAGTGGAATACATACCTGCTCTGAATAAAAACCCTCACAGACTGATCTGTGAGCTGCTCCTGAATTACTAAGGGTGATTGGATCTGAGAAACATAATAGCTTTGTACACCAAGCTAGTCCTCCTTTGACTCCAAATGCAAAATTACCATTTTTCTGCTGAAAGGGTGATTTCATGCCATAACTTGCATGACTAAGGTTTCCAGAGAAGACTTTTGTTTAGATAAGGACAAGAAATGCCCTGAGGCTTGTATTGTAATGTTATATGGATATATAGATAAAGAAATTTTTTGTTGAGCTGAGGGTGTGGTGTGATTTTATCTGCATGATTACTTACTGACAGACACTGGGAACAGCAAGATTCTTCCTGACCTTTTTTCACCTCTGCCTGGTTGGTTACAAGCTTCAGAGCCAGTGCAGTTCTGAGTACCACAGGCAGCCCAAACTGCAGCTGGTTCCTCTGTGTGCCCACCATCAACTCTCCCAAGGCACTTCAGGAGCATTGCTGGAAGCTTCATTGTGTGTCTTGTCTGAGGCCATTCACTATTCTTCTTATCTTCTACTTGAGACGGTGGATTATGTCAGTTCAGATTACTAGAAGGCTGTAAAACTCTATCTCAGCCTAAAAATTAATTCTCAGCAATTTCTGAACTCAAGAGCAAAGCAAGAGGTTGGATGGTTCAGATTCAGTAATGTCAAAAACAGACTCACTAAAGGGATAGCTAATCCCAAGAACTACAAACCCTTTCAACCAAATCAGAAAATAAAAATCACTCCTGTTTTCCAGACAAGAAAGGACAAATGAAACCACTGTCTGTCAAGGTATGACAGAGGACCTTCAACTGCTGGCTGAGGAAAGCTGCAATAAGGCAGAAGAGAACGACCATGGGATAAAAGCCCTGATCTGGCAGCCCTTCCCCAGCCTGCTCTGGAGCCCGTGTGCTGACCCTGGGCTGCTTTGGGAACACTCACAGCAAATGGCTGCCCTCCAGCTTTGCAGCTAAACATGTTTCCCTTCTCCTTGCCTTCTAATTGATATCCCAAATCAGAAACCTTGAGCTTGTCTTTAAACATGAGCATAATCTCAGGCTCAGACAACTGATCCTCCAGCAGGAACATAAAGACGGGCAGTAATCGGCTCCAGCAGTGAACCAGAGTCAAGAACAAGTCATGGAAATGGCATTTCACAGTACTGACTGTCAGGTTTTGTGATATATGATCTCATGGAGTACTTTGTTTTTCCAGCCATCTAAGTTTCAAAAGTTTTAATAGTAAAAATTGAAGCTTTCTTCTAGCCAGAAAGATATCAGTGAGTGACACAAGTAAAACAACTGCAGTTTAAGCCATGTAGTTCAACAATACCATCACAACAAACTCCTGATAATGGGACAAGCCCAGTACCCTATTAATTCAAGTCACAGGGGTAAGGTAGTTAAAAACAAATATGAAAATATTGCTGAAAATACAACTACTTCTAAAACTTAATCCAACTCTAAAAGCTTCAAAATATTAAAGAAATATTTTTCCATCCAGTTTCATTGATAACAGCATTTGAAGAATCCTCTTTCAGCAAAAGTTGACAGTTTGAAAGGTTTTAAGGGTTTTTTTTCCTCCTACTTTTGCTTTCAAACTATCCATGATGCAGTGCAGCGTCACAGTGGCACTTTGTTAAGGGGATCTCTGTTTTGACTGGCACCCAGGAGGAATTATGACATACTATCATCAAAGCAAACTGCAGATTATGGGGTAAGCAAAACGAGTTTTCTCAGTTTTCCAAGTTTTCTCATCATACAAATATCTCTGTAATTAAACAGGTAAAATATATAGGCGTTAAAACCCTGGAACCAATGTAGTAAATTGATTTTTAAAAATTAACTACCATCCACACAGAAGATGTGTCCTGAGCATATGAAAAGCATATGCAACTTTATTATATATATCCTTTTAAATAGCATTCTATCAGGTTTTGTGGCTATGTACACACACAGAAGTATTTAGCACATTCACATCGTGGTCACACATGTGCACAAATGCACTGTTCTGTAGTGGAAGAATAGTTCTGCATAGGAACTGTTATAAATTTCATCTTAGCATAAAGACTCATCTTGGTGCATTGGAAAGAGGTGCAGTTCTGAACCTTCAAAAAGTTTGAGCACCAAGACTAGCACCCTAACACATTGCATAGAAATCTTTGGGCTGATTTCTTGAGAGAT